GAAGATCTATCATATGCTCATGGATAGGGTCTCCCCCCCATAATAAGGGGGGCTACAAGATCTATAATATACCCGTGATTCCCCCCATAATAAGGAGGGTTCCAAGGTCTATTATATGCCCGTGATTGCCCCCGCCCCCCCAATAATGAGGTCTATAAGAAAGGGACTTCCTCCTCTACCTGTCTTTCCCAAAATTCGTATTACAAACAATGATTTGCTTCCTTAAATGTTTATTTTAAGGACACGGTCTGCTAAAGGCTAAATTAGGGAAGGTGTCCCGGCCCCTTTTTATAAACTTGCACACTGCTGCTTTTTAAAAGGAGGGGGGGATTTTTTTCTCTGCGGACAGTAGTGGACAGTGAGATTGGGTAGGTTTAGGGATTGGCTTGGGTGGGAGGAAATGCCTCCTCACCTCGGGTAGCAAAGGCGAAGGCCTGCCGGAGAAAGGGGTTCTCTCAGATCCCAAACCAGGGCAGTTTTTCCATGTGCAAAGTTTGGAAAGGGTGCTCCTTTATGGTTCATATGTCAGGGTTTGTTTTAGTTTTTTTTTCCCCTTCTGTTCTGGTGGGTGCAGGAGGTCAGTGGGGGGACCTGATGGGGCAGGGGAAAGCTTCCCCGCACGTTTGCAACTAACTATCCTCCCGTTTCCTCCCTCGCCTGGCCCTAGTTGATCCCACGGCGCCTGGATTGGCAGGGCAAGGAGCACCGCAGAAGCTTTGAGGATCTGGTGAGTGTGCCTTTTAAACTTCAGCATTGGGAGGGGGAAGGAAGACGGGCCGTGGCGCAAAGCAGGAAGATCTGGCTGGCACTCAGGCAGCTTCTTTCCTGCTTTCCCTACACTCGGGTGCGGAATATCTGGGCAAAGCCAGGGCGATCTTCCCTGCTCCGATCCAGGCAGCTATTGTGAAGGAACTGGGGAGGGTTATTTGAGGGCACGTACAAGGGGTTTCGGCCCAAGCCAATCACGCTGCGCCTGTCAGGCCTGAGCTCCCTGTTTGCACATGAGAGTAGCTTGCTGATTGGCTGCGGCTTTAAAGATAGGCACTGGGGGAGGACTGTGTTTTTGCTGCATTAGGAAGACGAAATACCCTGCCTTTTCACTGTAGATCAAGTCATATCCAGAATTTGCATAGACAGAAGGGGATGTTTGCTGTACAAATTGGAAGGGATTTGGTTGCTAATGTTCAAATACAAATAGGAACAATCTTAGAGGAGTACCCGAATCATTTGTAGAAACGTAAAGGCTGGATTTGTTTTTATTTGCTTGTGAAATAAGAGTAATAACACCCATTTGCAAAAAAAGCAAAATGAAGAAGCAATAAATATTCATCTGATATAAATCCTTGAACCCAACTTGATTCCTGTTCACTTTTATCACTGTGCTGATGAAAGAAAATCATGGAGATTGGATTCAGAATGGAGGCATAGAGTGTGAATGCCAGGCACCAGGTGCATTGGTGCAAACTCATTTTGCCTAATAGAAAATACAGGGAATATATAATAGAGGGCCTTTCTGGTTCCGATTCTGAAGGGGGCTGTGCAGGCAAATGCTGAATCATACAGTTTTCAATGCTTGATTGTGATTTGCAATAAAATACTATATCTGCACAATTCAGTTGCTTATGTTGCTGGGTAGCACATTCAGTGCAAGTTCAGCACTCTAGGGTCTTCTGGATCTGACAGAAATTGCAGTTTAATAGTATAGTATATGTTTTGTGGTGTGTTTATTTGTTTTTAGTTTTTCATATACAGTGGACCCTTGACTTACAGACGGCTTGACTTACAGACTTTTTGAGTTACAGACTTCTCTGGCCGCAAAATTTAGGTTTGACTTGCAGACTGAGATTTGACTTACAGACCAGAAAAAAACCAAAATGGAACAAAAACAGCCTGTTACGGGATTAATCGGTTTTCAATGCACTGTAGGTCAATGGAGACTTGACTTACAGACTTTTTGACTTGAGAACCGCCTTCCAATACGGATTAAGTTCTCAAGTCAAGACCCCACTGTATATTAACATCAGTGTCTGGAGGTTAATTCTGCCCACCTCCCTAAAATATTCTGCTGGAGGGTTTTCTTAGGCTTGGTCTGGGGCTTTTGTAGGCATAGCTACCTGGTTTCTACAGTTCCTGCTCCCCCCACCCAACATTTGTAGTTCTGCAGGTCTTGCTTTTCTAGCCTTTACTTTTGCAGCAGTCATTGGTCTACTTATTAGTATTTACTTATGTGCTAGTTTGCAATTCAGCCTGAAGTATGATTGCACTGTATTTGTAACTACAGTATATAAAAAATATACAAGGGGGTTACCTTTTTATGTGTATATGTGTGTGTCTGTTTAGTTTTTGGAAGTAAATGTCTTCCTCTTAAGTCTGTTACTGAAGGTGTGCTGCAAAAGACTGTATTTTTGTGAGGTGCATGGGAGCTTTGGAAAATTCACTCTAGATTTTTCTTTAAGAAATATTTATATTTGTGACCACCAGCTTGGCTGATATAGACCAACCAGCGTGCATGCTCACCTGTTAACTGGTTTTCCTTCACGTCAAATAGTACTGTTGACAGAGAATATTTGGAAGGATTTGTGATGAATCCCTAGCTCTCAATTTTTTTCTTAACACATAATCTTCAGCACAATAACAATGTGCTGTTGATATTTAGGCACATTGTACTGAGTGGTAGGAACATGGAGTGTTTCCAGTATGCTGTGTTTTTCTTTTGAAATCAGTGGTTTGTATCATTGAAATATGGTACAATACTCATATAACATATGTAACCAAGGAAGAGAAGATCTTTTTAAAGAACTTATGAAAATGACAGAACAAATGAGAGCCAGTTTTTTTTTTCAAATGCTGCCTGTTTAACCTGAAAATTAAACTCTAGTAGAAACATGCCAACACAATTAGAACACTGTTAAAACAAATGATGTGAAATTACCTAAACAAATAGATGGTAAGACAAGTAATCTCTTTTCTTAAGTAGAAATTCTTTGTTAATATTTTTAAAATGTTGTAAGCACTGCTTCTCAGAATTTAAGAAAATGCCAGTGTTTTTTAAGGTTGAAATGCTATGTCCAGTTACCCAAGATTATGACCAATGGAAATCCATCAGAATTTCTCCCCCAAAAAGATAAATAGGATCCTGTAAGTCATCAGTATGAGTATTCATGATATCAAAATACTGTTTTCTAATATGTCAAGAAACTTTATTCATTTTTTATTTCATTGATGAACTAGCTTTGCACTAGAAAATAGCACTCAAGGTGGTTTACAAACTTTTTTACTTTTAGCTTGCAGATGAATAAAACCTATAAAACTTTATATTCCTTTTTAGTGTACCACTAGTATTGTTCATCTCGGTCTCTCCTATCTACATAAACAAATGTTCAATGGTTAGTACTTCTGATAGCTATTTTGTTGTCAGAACTATTGTACCACAGCTTGTAAGGCAACACAACACTCTTCACAGAATTACCTTAATGTCCTCTAGTCTGCAGATATTTGTCTATTCTCCAAGAGAAGAAAAATGCAGAAACCAATGAGTGAGAAGTTGAATGCATGTAGTTATAGTTGGTTTCAAATGTCAACTCTACAATCTACTTTTTTCTTTTCAAAAATAAGGCAGCAGCTCTTAAACTTTCACCAGATATATACTTGAAAATTTATTGCAGTAAGGTGTTCTGTGAGGGTTCAACTTTGGGCTCCTCCCTTTGTGAAAAGAAACCAGGAGATTTTTGTTGTTTAGAAACAGGTGTGATATTTATTGGTGTACTCAACAAATAACCTGTCTCAATGAAATGGTTCCAACGGCTTCCATTTGTTGTCCAGGAACGGGTTCCTTTCACCAGATTTCCACGGATCCGGCCAATCTGCTGAGAAGTTTGGGTTCACTGTCTGTCCCGCTTCACCTTCCATCAGGGGCACGGTGTCGTCGGCCCGGCCATCAACCCACACGGGACATCCTTTGGGTTGAGGGTCTTCCAGGGTCCTCCCTGTACCCCTTCTTCCTCATTTCATTCACCTCCGTTCTAGCCTCTCTCTTCTCTCTCTCTCTGCTCTCTCCTTCTCTTCTCTCAACTTTCTCCTTCACTCCCTGGCCTCTTCCTCTCCCCAATAAGATGGTCGTGGTGGGATCCCCTTTCTTTTCTATAGTCGGCCTCCTCCTTAGACACTCTCAGTCTTTCCCATGCTCCGGACCATGGATCCTCCATCCAGATCCACTCCCAATCTGGTGGTAACTGCTCTTCCCTCCTCTTTATATCAGCTCTATCTCCAACCTCTTCTTCCGTTCCATTCCCACCATTTTCCCCTGAGTCCCTTCAATGGGTAGCTTTTGTATTCTTCCGTCTCTCTCCTCTGTTTCTGTCCTTTGCTGCTCTGTTCTTTTGGGGGCTGAGACAGGCTGGGTTTGTACCTCCTCTGCTGTATGTAGGAGGGACAGCACTCCGGTGAGAGAGATACCACTCTCGCCTCCTGTCTCACATGTGCTCATGACCTGCTTGACAAACTTTTGCTCTGCAGACTGAAGTGCATGCATAACTTAGATTTAATAAAATGATACTGTAATTTAGACATGTTCTCCAGGTTGTCTTTAATTGGAGAACACATATACTTTAAATAGCCTTTAACAAGATTTCAGGATCCCCCCCTCCTGCTGTTAAGCGTAGGACTGTGCTACCAGGCACTGTGGTGTACTGTACTGGACAGAGTAACGGACTAGACTCTGGAGAAGAGGGTTCGAATCCCCTGCTCCACCATGGAAACTCACTGGGTAAGTGGAACTTTTAAAGCGACTCTTTAAATAACTCACTTACCTTGAAAGGCCCTTTAGGCTCACCATAAGTTGGTTCCAACCTCGCGGCACAGAACACAACACACACACCAACCTCCATCAGTTTATATCTGTAAACTGAGATGGTGATAGCTGTACTCTGAGCGTGCTATGAATTTTTTAAATGATAGAACTCAAAAGGTTTCCCTGGAATGTGAGAGCTCACTTACCTTGAAAGCCCTTTTAGGCTCGCCATAAGTTGGTTCCAACCTCCCGGCACAGAACACAACACACACACCAACTTCCATCAGTTTTTATCTGTAAACTGAGGTGGTGATAGCTGTGCTCTGAGCGTGCTATGAATTTTTTAATGATAGAACTTAAAAGGTTTCCCTGGAATGTGAGAATTTAGATATGTCCTAAGGACGAGGCTCCCCAAATGTTTGCTGATCAGCAGTGTTGCATGAGTTCCTGCCAAGTAGTATACAGAAAGATTGTGTAACACAACAGATTGTGTACACTCTCCTGCCATTGCCTTGCCTTTTCTCACAATGCAGATTGTTACGGTTTTGACAAAGGGCGGTTTGTCAAATAGGACCAGTACTAGGACCATGATTTTTATAAAGCAGTGTCAGTGTGGTCTGACTTTCCCTAAAAATGGGCTACCCTTTCTCCTTGAAAAATTCCCATCAAAATGTGACAGGTTAAAGTGCCCTGCTTAGTGACCTGGCTTAGGACCACCGTTTCTATAACATGGGTCACAATGCTTGTGCTGGAGAATTATTTTTTTAAAAAAATCAGAATGTTAGTAATGCATCTATTATGATTTGTTAGAACCAAAGAAGCAAGTTAACTGGTCCATCAGGACTCCCAGCAATGTTCAGCTAGTATGTGGGGAGGGATTGTGTGGGAAACTGCTGGAGAAGTGTTATAGCAGAGATTTGCACATGCCTATTTGTGTGATAAGGACCCATTTCTTCTGGTTGAGTAACTCTCCAGAACTGTCTTTCGTTGCCCTGGGAGGTATGAGCCAGTGAACTTTTGGATTGGGTTTTGTGGACTTATCTGCCAGAGTGATAAAAGATCTGTACCTCATTGGCAGGCCTTTGTACTTCTATGAATCAGTGAGTTCCTCCAAAATCTGTAGGTCTGTCTGAAAACAATTGCCAAAATCGCCTTTAATGTTTACTCAAGATGCACTGATGACATATTTCAGTTAAACCTTTCCATATGCAGTAGCACCTCGGTTTATGAACTCCTCAGTTAACGTAAATTTTGGTTTACGAATGGAAAGCCATTGAAAATAATGGCTCGGTTTACTTTTTTTTCCCACAGTACAAAGGAAGTTCCCCCAGGATGCATTGTGCCTGGAGATTTATAGTGCCGCCCTAGTTCCTGTGGCAAACCGTGTTTCGGTTTACAATTTTTTTTTGCATTATGTAACTTTCCAGAGAACGCATTAAATTCGTAAACCAAGGTACTACTGTATGATTAGCCATTAAACAATTCCCGGTTCATCTTGGAGGTGCAAAGAGGCAGTCAGAGCTGCTCTTACATCTTAAAGTAAATGGCATTATTTGGGCTAAGATTTGCACAAATATTTTCATTCTCATATCTTCCCCAGGTTGAACAGAATTTTGCTTTAGATTAGCGATGGAGTAAAGGTAGTCCTGCAGATAAGGTTATGCTGCAGTTTCTGTTACTCCTCAGCATAAACAATGCTGGCTAGAACTGATGGGACTTAGAATCCAACAAAATCTGGGTAGCCATACATTTGATCAAGCTCAAATACATATTTACAGTTGTGATTTCCCTCCTCCCAACCCTACAAACTACTGAGAAGCAAATACTGGTGTCTTGCCAACCAAAACCTAAGTATGCAATACAATGCCATGCGTTGCAAAAGTAAGCCTGCTAAGTTCAGTAGGTCTTACAATCAAGTTGGTTAATAAAACCTTATGTACCTCTTTTCAAGCTGATGGTGTCTCGAGTAATATTCAGTGCTTAAAACACATCATAAAATAGAGCGCCATAAATCAGAACAGCAAGCTTTAATATTAGTCTCTCCAAAACCGAAAGGAGAAGACAAACAGCAGGTCCGGAATCACTGCTAAAAACAATTCTCTTGAAAAATGTGGCTGAAGAAAACTTTTCACTGGTGACGTGTAAGAAGCAAGCAAAGAGACAGATATACCTCTAGGAGAGGGACCCATAGTAAAGTACAAAACAGATGGCAGATTTATTCTTTTGATTGCTAACTTCAGCGAACAAGATACATCATATACATTGACTCACCTGTGTTTACAGATAACCTCATCTGGCCAGTCAGTGTCATTTTTTCTGTAATACAGAAGTAAATGGATGTTTCCATTGGAATTTTCAGTGTGGAAAACAACAGTGTGTGTGGATGTCTTCAAATAAGACACCAAACGGGATCTGTCTTAAGAATAAAAACAAAACAAAACCCAACTTGGCTGCGGCAAGATTGAGTTTTATCGTAGACCTCTGTAGGTATCACACACCTCAGCAGAGGTGATGAAGCCCCAGTGGCTTAAAACTGATCATATTCCTCAAAGCTGTTAGCACAGACGCCTTCTGGGCTAGTGTATTAAGAAGGCAGTGCCCAATAAAGACGGTGACAAACCACAGCTCCTGTGGCCCAGCTGCAACAAGCAGTGATTTGAACCCAGGTCTCTTGAGTCTTCCCTCTTTTGATTATCTGCTCTAGCCTCTGCATTTGCATTAATAGTGTTGCTGGACAGAGTCTTGCAAGGATTGCACAGTGAAAAGCTCAAATTACATGGTTGTTCTGTCTGTCACATGCTTAGACATCCAAGTCACACACTCTTCAGCTCACCTGGGCAGGTGACAAATTCTCAGAAAGTTGTGAAAAGCCACTGGTGCATTTTTCTTGCAAGTGCAATATGGTGGCAGTAGGTTTCTGGCCCATGTTTCATATATAGCTTCTCCCAAAAGTGTTGGCCCCTGGCGGAACAATACCAGATCTTTGTGTTAAACTGCCTGCCTGAGCGTTTGGTTCCCCCCCCCTTCTCTTTCTCTGCAGCTGTTTTTACGAATCAAAAAAGCTTTTTTGTTGCTGCCTTATCTTTAGCAGGGTGTTTGCCAAACTGAAGTCTCCTGATGTTTGTTCATTAACACCTGCATGCCAGAATCAAGGGGCTTTTAGTTTACAGATGGCTCCTCTCTTTGTGGGTGATTGAGCAGAAGTTTTAGGACTTCCTGTTGAGCAAAATACCAAGTGTGAGAAACAATCCTGTTGGTTTACCTTTGTAACTGGTTCGAAGGAACTACTGATGTGTAGCAGTTTATTGGTTCTATCCCAGACTTGTACCATGGATGGCTCCAGTCTCAGATGTAGCTTTCCTTTGAAAAGCCAGAAACACACATGCAAAAGGGTGCTGGTGTGTTTTTGTCCTGTTTCTGGCTTCTGCGCCCACATCTGGGTGGCTGCTGTTGTCAACACACTGGGACCCAGCAAGACTGGTCTTAGGTTCTTACAGTGAGTCGGCAGTAAAGAGTTGTCTCGAGGTCTAACAATGACAACAGTACAAATCAGTTCACAGCCTTTCATGTTTCCTTCTAATCTGTTCTGGAACATTTGTCTGTGAGCACCATCATTTTTTAAAAAAGGAGGGGTTTATAGAATGTGGGATTCTGATGTGATTAATTTATGGAACTCCCCGCCACAAGATGTGGCGGTGGCCATTCATTTAAGTGGCTTTAAAAGGGCCCAGGCAAACCTGTGGAATGGTCTGTTGCTATTCATCATCATCACAACTGAAATGAACCTGTTCAGTGGGCTCAAACAGTGTGTGTCTATTTATATCCTGTTTATTGGTCTCCCCGAGGTATGTGGCTGGCCATGGGAAACACTGGGTGGCTGGTCAGGTCCAATAAGACTCTTCTTATATTCTTAGTTGTGGTTGGAAATTCAAGTCTTTCTAACTAGATTTTCTAGCATTACTGTCCTTTTTAAATTGTTTGTGCTCACAGCAGCATGAAGAAATGTGAGAGCGAGCCCTTGGACCTATGTGGAGACTGTTATATTGCCCCAAACACACGGAATACACACCTGAATCCATGAGATTCAGGAGGCCTATGTGTGGCCATTGCTGTGTGTACAACACTCTGGATGAAGATGTCTGGGCTAGGATTTTCTTCTTCTTCTCTTCAAAGAACCACACGTTGAGGTAGCTTACACATTTTGGATGTGGATCATTCCCTCATCTGTTTGAGTTCGAAGATGCTTCAATGGCTCTGTTGCTTCAGCTTCTATCATTCAGTATTTTTAAGTTTCTGTGCTAGGCAAGGATGGAGAGTCCTCTCTTCCTTCTGTACTGCACTTAAGGAGGAGAGTGGGACTTGTCCCTCTATAAAAATGAAAAAAGTCCTTTCCTGCCCATACAAACAAAGCAAGGATCTAAAAAGTTTGTTTCTTTATGTTTTGAATGCAGGTGGCAGCCAACGCTCACATTCCTCCAGATTACCTTCTCAAAATCTGTGAGCGGCTTGGACCGCTCTTGGACAAGGAGATTCCGCAGAGCGTACTTGGGGTGCAGACCTTACTGGGTGTAGGACGTCAGTCCTTGCTGAGGGCAGCCAAAGGTAAGATCTGTGGCCTTAGGAAACCAGCATTTTATTTTTGTTCATTTTTGTCTAGAGCCCTGACGGGTAGCTTCCAGGGTCAAGATTTGCCACCCTGTGGCTGAATAATTTTGGGCCGGGTTGGAGAAGGTTTGGAGGTCTGAGTGGATGAGCTCTCTGGGTCTCCTGTGCCCCAGGGCCTGCACTTTCTCCACCTTTGGTTTAAGAAAAATAAATAAATTTCACCATCTTCAAAATCTTGTTTTGCACAGATTGTAGGCACACAGCATGGAAGGGATCGGCGTTTGCTGCGCTCCACAGAGGCAGGCCTCCCGAACTACCTGTAAACTATGGGAAGCCACCAAATGTGGGTAAGGAAAAATTCCCTGACATGTGTTTAAATATCCATTTTGATTTAATATTAATTGGTTGACCGTTTGAACTGGATTTGTTTTTTTTCTCCAGCCCAATCAAAAATTGATTTAACTGCTTGGCCAAAAAATCACTGCTGCTAAACAGACTGTTTTTGTTACTCTGCCCCGTGACTTGTCGCAGGCCATGCCATACTGGACGAATGTCAGAGCTCTCAAGATGTTGCTCAGTCCTCCGGCTGTACATAGCTTTGGCATCCCTAATACCCTTTTTCAATTTAGCTCTGACCTCTCTATACTGTAGCACATCACCAGAATGAAAAGCAGCATTTCTGGCTTTTAGTAAAAGGCACACTTCTCTATTTAGCCAAGGCTAAAATGTAATCTAGAGTCTCTCAAATTCTCTCAAATGTCATCTAGAGTCTCTCAAATTCCAAAGCAAGATTATCCATTCACCCAGCTTGCCTGTCTGGTATTGAATTATTCTTTAGTGCTTTGCACTAATTGGGCAGCATCAAAGTTGGATGAATGAATGAATGAATGAATGAATGAGTGAATGAATGAACGAATTTACTTTATATTTTGGGAAGGAACATCCTGATGGCTAAATAAGGCAATGAATCAAATCCTGACTGTGTTCACAAAACGTCCTCTGCATCCAAAAAGGCATATTTAAAGATGTAGTATTAAAAGAGATAGTCGTGTTAGTCTGTGCAAGCATATCAGGCAAAATCCAAATATTTTTGTTTGTTTGGATTTTGCCAGATAAATTTAAAGATGAAATGGTGAGAATAGTGAACCACTTGTGATTTCAGAGAGCAAAAGCTGAGGCAGCAGTGAAAGGGGAATTTAAATCTCTGTTTATCAGTTTTTTTAAAAAAATCACAGAAAGACTACTCTCAGTAATTCCTTGTGTGTCAGATCTGGTACAGTCAGTGACGGATTGGGAAGCCTTGCTGAAACATAAAAATACTGATTTAATTTCTGTAGAAACTTCTAAAAAGGACTGTAAAAACTGGAGAAGCGAGAGGCTTAATAAAGTGTATTGCACTTTATTGCTAAATAGGGTTTCCCTTATTTAGTTCCCAAGATTCTGCCATTGCATAGTACAGATTGGGTGAGCAGATTGTGCCACTCATGTACCTTCTCTGCACATGGTTGTTCCTGACTCCATTGCAACCACTGTCAACCCCTGCACTAAGTTTGGGTTTGTGGTTTAATCATCTAAACAAGGACTCACAGTTGCATCTGGTGGCCTGCCATGCAGACCTCTGCATCAGTGATACCCAACATTTGCCCCTTACCATTGTATAAATTCACAGAATCAAAGAATAATTAAGTTGGAAGGGGGCTATAAGGTCATCAAGTCCAACCCCTGCTCAGTGCAAGAATCCAAATCAAAGCAGATCTGACAGAGGGTTGTCCAGTTTTGTTCTAAATGCCTCCAGGGTTGAGGCACTTGCCGCCACTCAAGGTCATTGGTTCCATGGTTGTCCTGCTCTAACAGTTAATAAGTTTTTCCTGGTGTTTAGCCTAAATCTGGCTTCCTGTGGCTTGAGCCCATTATTGTGTATAATTCAGTCAGGACTGTTTACTATTGTGCATTTCCTCCCCCCCCTCTCTTTTCCAGTAAATATAATCTGTGCCAGGCCATTAACAGGATATGGACGTTTCAGCCATTTGTTCCCATCCTCCTTCTATCAGCACATCAAGATGCACAAGAGGATTCTGGGGCATTTATCCTCTGTATATTGTGTAGCATTTGATCGCAGTGGGAGACGAATTTTCACAGTGAGTTGAGCAATCATGAAATATTACAAACCAGGGGAAGATATGGGAGGTGGTTGTTTAAGTGTTGTTTTTGAAAAGAAAAAAGAGGCCTTTAAGAAGAAGATGCAACTATTTAACTAATGTTTTTAGTCAATACACTTGACTTGCCACTTTTTCAGGAGAGGTGTTGTCTAGTGGTCTTCGCTTGGTTATTTTGGGAGTACAAAAGAAGAAGAAAAACAAAGAGATATATTAGTTTGTATATTATAAACAACCTCACTTCCCTGTTTATAAGAAAGTATGTAGCCCATCCAGTGAAGAAGATAGGAAAAGGCTGATCCTATCCATGCAGTCCTTCCTCTTAATTCTCAACAGTGGCTATCTAGGGGCCTCTGGAAGTCCACCAGCAGGGCATCAAGGCAGGGGCAAGCAAGCGTGTAGGACGAAATCCAGAAATATGGTCTGCCTCTCTCTCTCTCTCGGCTCATAATGGGGGAAAAGAAAAGTGGCCCTTCTGCATGTTACACTTTGGACGGTGTTTTTTGTGTGAAACATTAGGGCTCAGATGATTGCTTGGTGAAAATTTGGGCTACAGATAACGGACGTTTGCTCGCGACTCTCCGAGGACATTCGGCTGAAATTTCCGACATGGCTGTTAGTTATGAGAACACCCTCCTTGCTGCAGGGAGCTGCGACAAGGTAGTCAGAGTCTGGTGTCTTCGGACTTGTGCACCCGTGGCCGTGCTGCTGGGCCACTCGGCTTCCATTACTTCCATACAGGTAAGTCCAGCAAACGTGTAGGGAATTTTTGCTTGCTTGCTTGCTTGCTTGTTTTGGCAGTGGGGAGGTGCTTTTGATTAACGGAGACACAACATTGCATTTGTTTTTGCCTTAAGTACACCAGGGCTGTGTCTCAAGGTTCTATGCATCAAATGATTTCTTTTTGGGGGGAAAAATCCACACTTATTTATTTAACTTTATATACTATCCCATTAGTGCAGTGTCCTATTCTGGACCTTTCATGACAAATAGAATAGCAAGATAGATAACAAAAATGCCTGTGTTGACCACCTTCAAGGCATAGGGTTGCATAGGAGACACAGCGGGGCAGGCCAAAGTTTTTGTACAGGAACATTGATTGGACCCTTTCCACGGAACTGTGGAAGGCAGGCATCCAGATGGGGACACCATGAAGAAGCTGTGCTGCTGATTTGGCATTAAAAAATCTGTAGTGCAGCGGGGATGTCTGAGTGGCCCCAAGTACGATGGGCACATAAGATAGCCTGCGGTGAAAGCTTTGCTGACTTAATCGCTGTCTCCCGGTGACTCCACCAGGTGTGTCTATAACACCCAAATACTTAAACTCTCTGACCTGTTGGGTAGTGTTGCCATTAAGTTCCAGTGTAGCATACACATAGCAGAATGGCCGATTATGTTATAAAGCTAGGCCAGTGCGATAGCATTACAAAGTGCATTTATGGTGTCTCCCTTTTCAATCTGTAGTTTTCGCCAGCAAGAAAAGGAACAACTCGATACCTCACCTCTACAGGTGCTGATGGGACGATCTGCTTCTGGCAGTGGCATTTAAATACAATGAAATTTAAGTAGGTACAATTTGATTTCTTCCTTTTACTCTGTTCCATCCCTGGAACAGGTCATTTAACTCGGTGGTTCCCAAACTGAGCGCCAACCCAGCCCCGTGTGTGTGTGTGTGTGCAGAAACTTTTGATCCTTTGCCGTCACCTCCCTCTTCCTTCATGCTGGCTGGGATCCTGCCTAATGCCCTGCCCGTTCCCAGGCACAGGCCCCAGGGTGAGACATGCCCTGTCCCTGGATGCCCACCTGCATGAGAGAAGAAGAGGCAGAGGCAGCAGTGGTGGTGTCCCTTTTGCCCTGGGGAGGGGGGGGCCCTGGGATGGAGTCAAGGAAGCTGCAACTTTAAAAAGTTTGGGAGCCTCTGGTTTTAACTCTTAGATCAACTTAGTGGGAGAAGTCCGATTGTTTGTGAAGAGTCCCTGGAAGAGACAAGAATGCTAGGAAAAACTGAAGGCATTGGGAAAAGAAGGCAACCGAGGTCAAAGGCTGGATTGACTCAGTAAAAGAAGGCACAGCCTTTAGTTTGCAAGATGTGGATTTTCCTTAGGTGGGCTTCCTTTAGTTGGGACCAACAATTGAACTCAGCCCATTATGTTTCCCCTTATGGCCTAGCTGCTGCTGTGCTCTAAAGAGGTCTAACTTAACTCTTGGTAACTGCTTACCTTGGGCCATTGTGTGAGTATGGTAATATTGGAAACAAGGTGATAAAAGGTAGCCGTTGATAACTCCATTTATAGAAAAGCCAATCAGGGAATAGGTTTGTTTAGTTTCTCTTCACCTTGAAGCGTGATGGTTTAGAGGGTGCCATGAAACTGTTCCATTGATTTTTTTAAAAAGTACTGTATATGTGCAATAATATATGGTAACTTAATTTATAATACATATTAATATGGGATTATTGGGTCGGTGTGTATCTTTTTTTTAAAAAACAAAGCTGTAGAAACCCTTGACTAATTAATTAAAAAGGTCTGTCCACAAATTGTTATGTGTACCAAAAGGGAGTTTATACCCTTATTTAATAGATTTATTATACTAGTTTTATTTGGATCAAGTGATTGGTCCATTTAGTTCAGTAGTGTTTACACTAGGGGAAAGTTGGTTTTTAAATTCTGAAGCAGAGATGATTCACCGCTATTATTACTAATGATTCTCTTAACTTGGTGATATTTGCATATTCATGTACCATTTTGTAGGACGTTCACTCTGATGCTCTCAAGCCACAGCTCTCTGAAATGAGTGAATGGTTAACACGAGCTGCTTTTTCATTTTTAGTTATTTTGCATTGGCCAGTGTGTGAGTAAGAAATGCATCACTTGCCACAGTTAATCTCAGATAATTGATTATGTATTGGGAGAGCATCTTAGTTGCACAGATGGTGTCTGTCCACATATATGATCATGGTGCACCCAGCACCTCATCTGTTAGATCCAATTAGCCACAGCAATAGGATTCTGACCATTTCGTATTGCAATTGCTGTTCACATGCTTAATTTTCTTGCACAGTTATTCAAACTTCGCCAGATTAATTCAGTTATAGGAATGGGTTTCTACCAGTATTAGGGAAGGAATTTTTTCTTTGTGAGCTTCCTTGTAATTCAAAGCTTTGGGCAGGAGCAAAAACATGTGTTTTGCCTTTCCAAAATGTGTACCTTCTCAGTTTTAAACACTTGCATTCAAGAACTTGTTTCCGCTTGATTGGAGATACATAATCTTCAAGTGGTTTGATTCCAAATGGATTTAGTTGAATTTAAATAAATTTTAAATGTTGACAGGTGGCAAACTAGCAGCTTGTCAGTTTTTTCTTTTGAAATGTGTTGATAACAATATGAAAAGATTGTTTTCCCATGTTGTTGGTGTTAGAAATATTTAAGGTACCAGTAACAAAAAGACTGTTTTCTTTAATTTTGTTTAATTTCTGGGATCTCACATTGGTAACCATGTTTCCAACACCTGTTGCAAAAAAAATATTTCCTACTAGGCTACAGTGGTCATTGCACCACATAAAGTGATGTACAGTGGTGCCTCGCTTAACGGGCGCTCCATTTGACGACGAAATCGCTAGATGTTGATGCTTTTGCGATCGCAAAAGCAATCGCAAAATGATGTTCCCTATGGGGGAATTTCACTTTGCGATGATCGGTTCCCTGCTTCGGGAACCAATCATCGCAAAGCGATGATTTTCAACCAGCTAATTGGCGGTTTTCAAAATGGCCGCAGGGTAAACAAAATGGCTGCCCCCCGCTCTTTTCTGGCATGGATTCCTCGCTGCATAGGCAGCGAAAATGGCCGCACTATGGAGGATCTTCGCTGAACGGTGAGTTTCAAGCCCCTAGGAACGCATTAATCGGGTTTTAATGCGTTTCTATGGGCTTTTTAAAATCGCATTACGACGTTTTCGTTTTACAGCTATTTCGCTGGAGCAAATTAATGTCGTAATGCGAGGCACCACTGTATTTTCAATGCTGTATATTTGCATTTTAGGGATCGGCCCATCAAATTTGCTGAGAGGTCAAGACCTGGTGTTCAGATATCATGTTCATCTTTCAGCTCTGGTATGTACATGTTTTCCAGTAATGGAAATTATCTAGCCTTCATAAATATTTTATACATAAGTAATCTTCACCACCCCCATTTATGAAGATGTTTCAGTATTTATTTTTTTTTTAAAAAAAACCCAGCACATAGCTGAGATTTCTGGGGGAAAGGCAGGCTTCTGAAAAAATTCTACTCAAAACCATTATTAATTGACAAAAACATCTAGTAAGTGGTTGAAATTAATTTGTTTGGCTGTTCTTGGGATGGATAGTAGATGAAAATTCAGCTTCAGGCAAAATAGAGAGGCATTACCTTTTTGCAGTGCTCTCATACTAAATCCATCAGTCCTGATTAGCGATGGGCATTTACTGTGGTTCAGCCAATCAGGCCTGCAGGTTGCTGCACGGGCCCCCTGGATTCTCCTCCTGTGGACGCCCCATCAGAAGTAACGGCATAGGCTTCTCTGCCCCGCCTCCTCCTCCTGATTGGGTGCCTTCCAGAGGTGGCCGGGTATGGAATGGTTGGACTGAATTCCTCCTGGTTTTCATATTCTTAGTCGAATCAATATAGCAAGGCACTTAACAAATGTTAATGCCATTTCAGAGATTATGACAAATTCGGGAGTGTTCCAATCAGTTCCTCCCAAATTTAGCATCATGGTTCAGTAATGCTGTGGTAAGGGCTTGAATCAAGGTATGCCTCTTACGGTACCCAGTGCTGTGTTGTGGACAGGGTGACTGACTATGGAAACCAGGGTTTGAATCTCCACTTGGCCATGGAAATTCACTGGGGGAGTGGAACTGGTCAAACCACTTCTTAAATATTTCACCTACCATGAAAGCTCGATTAAGGTGCCTATAAGTTGGTTCTGACTTGATGGCACACAACAAGCTGTGCACGTTTTCTGTTTTATTTGCTCACAGTAAGGAAGTCCGTGCCCTTTGAATAACAGAGAACTAAACTGTCATAATCTGCAGACTTTGAAAGGGAAAAATCTGTCGTATCATTCCTCCGTTTTTGGTTTTTAATTTTAGAACCAGGGGGTTACCATTCGCTTTAGTGTAATAAAGAATTAACAGTTGCTTTGCTTCTTCCCTGCCCATACCTCCCCATCTTTCCCCCTTTTCCTTCTTAGGTGGCATGTTCATTGCAACAGGAAGCACTGACCATGTGATTAGAATATATTACTTGGGCTCTGAATCGCCAGAGAAAATAGCTCAGTTGGAATCTCATACGGTAAGAGCAAAACAGGCAGTGGCTGTTTCATTCCAAGCTTGGAATGGTAGGAAAACAGTGGAGTCTACAGAAAATGGATTGTCCTCATTGACCCAATTTTTTTTTTATTGACTAGTTCACTTTAAAGTTTTCCTCCCCTCTTCTGTCACTCTCCCCCCCCCCAAAATTGGACTACTAATCCCAAAATGTCATGGTAAATTGGGGTTGATAGGCTCCAAAATATCTGGAAACTGTCAGGTTGAGGAGGTCTGTTTTTCATAAAGCATGCTGTCTTACACCCCCATCCCTAAAGGAGGAGACAAAGAACATCTCCAACAGAACGCTGGGTTTATATGGGGCCATTATTATTATTTTTTGGACCACGTTCAATTGCATTTCTTTACGAGGACACTCTAGAACAGAGGTGTCAAATTCAGTTTCATCTTGGGCCACATCGGCATTAGGGTTGCCCTCAAAGGGCTGGTTGCATCTGTAAGACTATATAAATGTATCTACTGTTTATCATATTAAATAGTGACGACTACATTTCCCAAGGTGCTGTACACCACCTAAGCAGCTGCACTTTCGGACTCTTCGCTGCTTGGAATGCTGGGATTAGAAGTCCCGCTGGGCGGATTACCAGCATCCTTGCAGAGCATTATGGGTGACCGAGCAAGCGCCTGCGTATTGAATACTGCACAGTAGTGGGCAACACAGTGAGGGCCACATGAACAACATGGATTCAGTCCGTGGGCCTTGAGTTTGACACATGTGTACTAGAAGCTATCCTTGAAAGTACGGTCGGAAGTAAAACATCTTCAGCCCTCCCCTACAGTTATTCTGCTCTACAGCTATAAAAGTCACCGCAACTTATTTTTTTTCAGAGCCATCACCTACATATGGCTTCCATACCACTGAAAACACCCGTCTCCCATGGATAATTTTGTTTGTGAAATGCCTGTATAAGTTAGCATTTGCCTCCAACTGCACACAGAGAACTAAGCTGGGAGGATTTGCATGGCTCGACCCCCAAATGCTGCTATTTCTGTAGAAGTTTGCAAAGAAACCTTTTTGCAGCATAGTCCATCTTGGGGCTCTTGCAAAGACTAGCAACACTTAAACACCTGGAGTTAGCTTTATCTCGATGTTACGAAGCAAGCTCTAGTTCTTTTGTGCAGTAATACAATTTGTTAGACTACAATCCTGTGAGCTCTTAGCAGGGAGCAAATATACACATACGCATTCTCTTGCTTCTTGTTTTTGTAGGCGTACTTGTTTTCTTGTTACATTTTTAAATAGTTTTTACATTGTTTCAATTCATTGCTTGTTTTAATGTGATAACTTATTTAATTGCCTTTCAATGTTGCTTTTTGAAAGCTATAGTGTATTTGTTTTTAGTGCATATTATGAGTTGGCTTAATTACAATACTGGCAGAAAGGTGGGACACAAACGAATAAAATTCATCGCCACATTTAGAAATAGCTCTCCACCCCCTTTAGTATTCCAAATGTATGTTTTAATTAATAATATATTTCAAATATATATTTTTTAAAAGCCTTAAAATCTTACTTGGTAGTATTATATGTTATTAAGTTGCATCCAACTTAAGGCAATCCTAATACAGTTTTCAAGGTATGTGAGATGTTCAAGCAGTGGTTTTACTACTGCTGTCCAATGAATTACCAGGATGGGGTTTGAATCCTACCCATCTCACCGCATAGTCTTGTAGCCTATTTGCTATAGAATAAACAGTTCCTTAATTAATTCTTCAAGTATCTAATGCTTATGCAATGATGTATTTTACTCTGGAGGAAAAAGTTAAAACCTTTGCCCTGCTTATTCTATTCAAAACAGAAACAGCTAATAGATGATAATATTAAAATATCGTTTTAACCAGAACAGAACAAGCACCGAATTAAAACAAAAGAAAAGAACCCCTAAGAGAACAAGAAAAGCCTGAAAGAAGTGACATTCTGAAGTTTTAGAGAAAATATTTTTGAAAAAAATAATGATCTCTTCTTAGTAATGTCTTGCATATGCGGACATTTTCATTTTCTTCAAAAGAAGAGGCCCTTCAGTCTGGCAGGATGATGTGTACCTGAATTCGTGCACCTGCCAGTGACTGCTAGTTCAAGAGCCATTTTGTTACACAGCAAATATTCATGCTAACTGACTGAAGTATTTCATGATGAGCAGGAAAAGAGGGCATTGATTTGACAAATCAATAACAAGGCACTCTGTAGCATTATTTGTTTCACCGAGAATTATTACTACATGCAACCACTTGTTTCAGTTCTTATTGAAAACATTTTGCTACACATGATAGCAAGGTGTGTTTGTACATTTGTTTCTGATTTTTGACAAGAGGAGTATCCTGGCTCTTATTTTGATAAGACATTTTGACTAAGGGACATGACACTATCAGCCACTGTAATGACTATGTTGATGGATCCGTACCCAATGCTTTGGGATAGGTTATGGGGAGGAGCATATGTTCCTCTAAGGCAGGGCTTCCCAAGCTTGAGTCCTCAGATATTCTTGGGCGACAGCTCCCAGAAATCCTGGCCGGCACAGCTGGTAGGGAAGGATTCTGGGGGTTGTAGTCCAGGAACATCTGGGGGGCCTACTGCTCTAGTGCAGCCCTCCAGATGTTGCTGAACTGCAAATCCCAACACTCCTTACTATTGACTGTGTGGGCTAGGATTGCTGGGAGTTGCAGTTCAGCAACTTCTGGAGGGCAACATTTTGCCCAGGTCTGCTCTAGAGGGACATGTTTTTGTCTCTCCAATCTGGAGGGCCACATTTTGCCCAGGTTTGCTCTTTTTGTCTCTCCGTTCTGTGTTTGGCCCAGGAAGGGCATTTCTTCAAAAGGAGAAGTGAATCATTGCTATGTCTTGTTTGGAGAAAAAAATCATGCCCCAGGAGCCGAAGCTTAGAAGCCCTAAAAATCGTCCACAATGCCCCTAAAGGGGTGGGGATTGGCTTTCAAAGAGAAACATTTAAAGAAACAGAGAGGGCTGTAGCCCCTAGGGTGGTGTTGCACTTTTGCTCCGTGCCTCCCGTAGACCACACTTTGCCCACCCTGATGACAGAATCAGCCGGAGAGGTATTGCGCAAGCCATATGTCAACGGCTGTTGGAAAAAGCAGTTGTCCAGAGATGAGTTGCAATCTTGACAGGCTGAAAGGCAAAGGGCTGGTGGTCTGTCTGTTTAATGTTGACCTTTAGCTATTTATAGCCCCTAGTAGCTCCTCTTTCATCTTAACATAATCATCTTAGAACTGCAGAGCTTGAAGGGACCCTATGAATCATTGGATCATCTCCTGTTAAGGAGGCGCAGTGGGGAATCGAACTCCCAACCTCCACAGCCAGAGACCTAAGCCACTGAACTATCCAACAGTTGGGCCACTAGTGGTCCACCTCCATGTTGATGTGGGTCAGTGTTGAGGGGTGCCGACCTCCAAATGGGAGGGTTGCTCCTAGGGAACCTTTTGAGTTGAACCTGGTAGGCGGTATGGGGACAGGGCAGAGTTGTAAAACAAGTGACTGAAAAATAAATGTTGCTTAAAATGACCCTTTTCTAAATTGACAGGACAAAGTCGTTGCGGTTCAGTTCTGCAACAATGGAGACAGGTAAGCATCTATTCAAGTGGCTATGTTTTGCATAATATTTTCTAAAAGGCCTTGAAAAGCAACAGAGGTCCCAACTCTTGAGTTCTTGAACGCAAACTATTTATCACAAAGTACTGGATTTCCCATTTCCTATAATGTATAGCACAGGTAAGTAACCTCTTTTTTCTTTCACTGTGGTTGTCTGATATAGTGATCGAAGCATTTGGACTCATTGGCTGAAATCCAATAGTAAATTGCAACTAGAGTAGGCCCATTGAACCAGTGGAATGTGACTCGCCAAATTGCCACTGATTCAGTGGGCCTCATCTAATTGCCACTCACTTCTGGATTTCAGCCATTGTGGTGTTAGTTGCATAGCATGTTACAATTTAGTTTCTTTGGAGGGATCCAACTAAAGCAAGAAAATGGCCTAAATTTTAACAATAACAACAACAAAATCCCTCAAAATAGTGTCTCAACCAAGCATCATTTTAGCTCCAAAAAGTAATAAGAATCAGGAATTTGGAAGGGTGACTTTTGACAAGAAGAAATAGACTGGGTTAATTAATTCATTAACTTGGGGAAGAAAGTTACCAGAATCGTGGCCATGAAAACAACCCGTTAGAAGTAACATTGCTACTTGCTAACACGTTGTTTTCCAGATAGGCGGCGGAGGCGCTGTACAACCTGGGCAGGTAGATAATGGGTCTGGATCGACAAATCCAGCGGTTCCCAACCTTGGGTCTCCAGATGTTCTTGGACTGCAACTCCCAGAAGCCTTCACTACCAGCTGTGCTGGCCCTGATTTCTGGGGGTTGTAGTCCAAGAACATTGGGGGACTCAAGGTTGGATCCTGGTGATGTTGAGTAGGATCATCACTGCTTTCTTGCTCTCTTTGACAGTAGCAGCAACGAGCATTCTTTCACGTTATTCTGCTCAATGAAAAAAAATTATGGCCTTGGGAGAAATATGAGTGGATTTGTTTGAGGAAGGACTGTGAGCTTTCACGTTATTCTGCTCAATGAAAAAAAATGGCCTTGAGAGAAATATGAGTAGATTGGTTTGATGAAGGACTGTGAGCCCAAGTGTGCTGAACAGATTCCTGAGCTCAGAATGCTTCTCTTCCATGATTTCCCTTTGAAATATATGGCTGGCACATTTTGCAGTTCTGGGTTACAATCCAAGTAGACCTCGTAAGCTTGAAGTTTGCCTGCCTATAGAGAAACCTGGTGATTTAGAAGCTTAATTCTGTTTCTTTTTACATTTTCAATACAGATTAAGGTTTGTCAGCGGAAGCAGAGACGGAACGGCTAGAATATGGCAGTACCAGCAGCAAGAATGGAAGAATGTTGTGTTAGATATGTCTACCAAGATAACTGGGTAAAAAAACAGAAAAAACGTTTTTCCAGTTCTGTGTCTTTCATATGCAGAAGTGTGAACAATTTAAAACACAGTCATGCTCATTTCTTGCAATCAGTAGGTGCCTACGAACCCCTTTCCCCCCACTTTTCTGAACCCTCACACTGTTCTATTCTGGCGCTACCCTCAAAAACAATACTCGTCCTTTCATGCAAGGGTTTTGTCTTGGTAACCATGGTAGCTCCAGCTTTTTCCAAAGTTCACCTCCACCTTTTCAGTGGTCTGACGTCCTCGTGTCCCCTGTGGCACCCGCAGGCTGAGGTGACCATCTGCGAAGTTTCAGGAGAGTTCCGAGGACTGTGTAGAGACATTCCTCCCGGGAGGCACGCTGCTGCTCGACTTTCCAAATGGCATCTGAATCAGTCGGCAAGACAGCTTGTGCTGGAGGGAGCACTTGTCGCATCGCCCGTTAAGGCAGAGTTTCCAAAAAAGGGCATTTTATCATCCATGTAGGGAGTGAAACAGAACGGGAGAACAGCCAGAAATATTTGCATCTGGAACATTTTCCCAGCGTTAGTCTATCAGCTGTTTGTGCTGAATTAGTTGCTCAGCTCGGTTTTTAAGAAGCTGGTTCTTCTTGGCATCATTCCTTTATTTGAACATTCAAGTTGTTTTGTTAAAGGTTGGATTTTTTTTTACTACATTTTCCTAGAAAAGTGACGAAACTGCAGTCAGGACACTGTTTTCATTCATTCATTTTGATGAGCTAAGCAAGGTTCAGGACTGCTTCATCCTTGGCTAGGTGACTTCAGGGGAATACCAGCTGCTGTACTGGGAAGGAGTCATCGCTCAGTAGTGGAGCGTGGTCCCAACTTCAGTTCTTGGCATCTCCAAGGGAGAATCCTGCCTGAAACCCTGGCAGACGGCTTCCTGTCAGCACTAGCAATACTGTAGTCCATTTGATGGATCAGTGGTTTGTCTCTGTGTCAGATCACTTCCTATGTTGCTGAGATGACTGATTAAAACAGAAATCTTGCATGTTTCTCACCAGTCCTTGTGTTACATTGATGTGTTACATCAATCAGATTGTTTTGGAACCATAGATACGTTCCTGTAGTCCTTAGAAAAGTCAGCAAGCTGTATTGAAAACTCATCTTTCTCAAGCAACTCAAAGTGGTTCTCAGTAGTTATGGTTCCAGTTTCTTTTTGTCCTTTATGAAGCTTAGGGCAGTTCCAAACAAATGTGTTTCCTTTCCTTTCTATTTTCTTTTTCCTTTTCCTTTCTTCTCCCCTTTTTGGGGTGGGGTGGGAGCTTTCAAGTTGAGAGCCGATGAAAACCATTACATCAGAATGCAAAACAACATTGCTTTTATCGCTTGGGATTGCCTTGCAAAATTAGGAGGTGTGAGACAGCTAGATCTCAGGTAGGTGCAAAAATTCAGGTCTAAATTAGTTCCTTGAGCTGACCAGCTTTTAATGGGCATGATTCAGTAGCTTTCCCCAGAGTGCTATACTGGTTATGGAGGACTGAAAAGGAATTTGCAAGAATACTCATCACTGACATGTCATGAAGTTTACAGGGTGACCATGAACCAGTTGGTCTTAGCCTGACTTGGGTCATCTTGGGCATCTCATGATGATAAAGTGGAAGAGAAAGTCTAGTATGTTGACTTAAAACTCACTGATGGGAAAACAGAATAGGAATAAAAGTTCTCAAAGCACATGATGCTCAGAGATGACTTGCATTATCTCTTTAAATAATTTAGAACGGTTGGGATCTTCAGTTGACGCCACAACATTGGAGCAGGGCGATTAATCAGCCAAGGCTTATGATTCCTGTATATTTACCACTTGGGAAGAATAGTTGGTGAGGACAGTAAACTAGATAAACACTATGGTGGGGGCAGGATAGCTCCCCAAGCACTGGTCCACATCTCTGCCATGACCACCTCTACCTCTTTGAGACCAAGACAAATGATTTATTCAAAGATTTCATAATATCTCATTTACTTTTGCAACCATCTTGAACTCATAAGTGGCTTTTTGACTAAGTGTAATGTGCATTTTCGTAGGAACTGCCTACCGTCTGGAGAGGACAAAGTGTCCAAGCTCAAAGTAACCATGGTGGCGTGGGATCGATACGATACTACCGTGATCACGGCGGTGAACAACTTTCTCTTGAAAGTGTGGAACTCTTCCACAGGGCAGCTTCTTCACAATTTATCTGTAAGTCGAGCTTTGTTTGATCGGCTTTTTAAGAGGATCAACATTTTAACACTTTTTGTGTTGGGCTGTGACCTCAGCCGCAGGGAAGTGGTGGCAAGGTCGGAAGACCAGCAGTCATAAGATCGAATCCACGCAACGGAGTGAGCCCCTGTTGCTTGTCCCAGCTCATGGTAACCTAGCAGTTTGAAGGCATGAAATGCAAGTAGAGTAGATAAATAGGTACCACCTCGGTGGGAAGGTCATGGCGTTCCATGTCTAGTCGCGCTGGCCACGTGACCACAGAAACTGTCTACGGACAAACGCTGGCTCTACGGCTTTGAGACAGGGATGAGCACCGCCCCCTAGAGTTGGCCACAACTGGACTAAATGTCAAGGGGAACCTTTACCCTTATCGTGACCTCAGCCACTTTTCTTCTTGGGATATTTGGAGCTGTGAAGCCATTGCAGAGCCTCCAGATGTAGGAACCTGCTCCCCAGCCGCCACCATCTCAGTCCTCATCCCCCCTGGACAAGGATCGCCCATATGAGACATGCCTTGGCATCTTTCTTTCCATCATGCATTTCCCCCATTTCTTGTGATCAGGAAAATGTCTGATGGGAAAAAAAGATGCTAGCTAAAAATCTTAACTGGAGCCAGAGGTTGGGAGGTTGATTCCTCACTTGTGCCTCCTGGGAGAAGAGCCAGCCTAGGTGGCCTTGGGCCAACTGCAACATCCCAAGGTTGCCCCGTAGAGGAAGGGAAGGGTAAAGCACTTCTGAGCGTTCTAGAAAATCCTGGTAAAGGGTCCCTATAAGTCAGAATGGTCTTGACAGCACATGATCAGGAAGTAAAGAAGTAAAACTCCATGTTATGTAGAGGAATAGTGGGATTAGATTTCTCCAGGTCAGGGCTTCTTATGGCATGCGAAGGAATAGTTTGCATACTTGCTACCTGAATGAATCGGCCAGAATACTGATGGATTGTCTCTCAAAGACAAGGCGTCGGCAGTACATATGGAAGGGAGGTTGCCGGAGAAGCTCAACCTGTGGCTTTTTTCCTTTTTCTGACCCTATGATTTCTTTTGACTCCACCCAGGGGCATGACGACGAGGTGTTTGTTTTGGAAGCCCACCCGTTTGACCAAAGGATTATGCTTTCTGCAGGCCACGATGGGAACATTTTCATTTGGGACCTTGAGAAAGGGGCAAAAATCCGGAACTACTTCAACATGGTAAGGCACAGCAGAGGGACTGTCACGGGCTCCCGGGCCCTGTAGCAGAGAAGGAGTTCCGCAGGACCAGGACAAATGAATGCCTTTGGCGGACGTCTCTCTTCTGTACTCCAGGGATTGCAGTCTGCCCTACCTCTTGTTCAGGGCCACTTAGACTGCCCCAAGCCAGCAGATCAAAGGCATGCATTTCTAAATTTTCTAGCAGCGTGTGTGTTCCTTGCACTCTATTATGTCGAGAACTTACAATATAAGCACATACAATATAAACATATACAGTAGGACTCCAGTATCCACGGGGGATTGGTTACAAGCCTTTCCACACACAAGTCTCGAACACTATACCTTGCATGGTCTCTGGCTTCCTGTAGTGGCCAGCTCTGATCAATACATCCTGGAAATACCTTTAAATGAACTTTGTAGCTCTCAGAAGCACTGCGTTAGGGAACCAAACATAGCAAATGACCTATAATTTCAGAACAAGCATGTAAGAGACATGTAAGCTGATTACTGAGGTTTATTCAAAAGAACAAGCGATGGCTGACGGTGGTGTTTCTGCATTTTACAGATTGAGGGCCAAGGCCACGGTGCCGTATTTGACTGCAAATTCTCTCCCGATGGTCAGCATTTTGCCTGTACGGATTCACACGGACACCTCCTGTTGTTCGGCTTTGGGTGCAATAAATCTTACGAAAGGGTACGTTGGCAGGTTCTTAGTGCTTTCCAAAGCTGCATTTGGTCCAAGAATACATCTGTTACGTCCATGACATAATAAATAGTTTTAAACCTTGCTCATCAATGCGAAGGTTTTGAACATGATCGTATATCTTTCATAAAGCCAATAGAACTTTAAAGAGCTCAACCATGTAAATAGATGATACCCATTAATTAATTTTTATTATTTGTATGATCAACAGATCAGATGTGAAATGATGCCCATTATATATTTGCAATATCTTATAGTACAGTTAGACCAATATTCCCTGACCTATTGCCTTCTCAGTGTCTTGGACTACAGGCCCTATTATCCCCAGACAGTTCAGGCTGAAGACACCTACTCTTGAATGACCCTATACAACAGAGATTATATTATAGATCAGCTCTATGGAAGATCTGTTACCCTCTCCAATAATAAAATAAAACAGTGCGAAGATCGAGAAACTGAGTTTTAGGTTACACTGCATAGTATAGCGTATGAATTAATTTCAGAAATGAATTGAGATGTGTTTATATCTTTGTACTGATTATGTAGTTTGTGTCTTATGCAGATTCCGGACCAGATGTTCTTCCACACCGACTACCGCCCCCTCATCCGCGATGCCAATAACTATGTGCTCGATGAACAAACGCAACAGGCCCCCCATCTCATGCCTCCCCCTTTCTTAGTAGACGTGGATGGAAATCCTCACCCCACAAGATATCAAAGACTGGTGCCAGGAAGGGAAAACTGTAAAGACGAACAGCTCATTCCTCAGCTGGGATATGTGGCCAACGGTACGTCGCCTCTTAAAATTGCCGAAGGGAACAGATTCTAGGATGATCATCCTTGTCATCCTAGAACTGCTAAGCTGGAAGGGAGTCCTCTAGGGATCATCCAGTCCAGCCCTTGCCAAGGAGGCCCCATGGGAGAATCAAACTCCCAACCTCTGGCTCTGCAGCCAGGCTCCTAAACCCCTGAGCTATGAATTGCTGGATAGCTCTGGGGTTTAGAGTTTAGAATCATGCATGGCTTTTCCTCAACTGGAAACAGAACTTTGTTTGAAAGGACGCCTAGCATTTATGAAGGCCTTGGTACCCCATTTAACGATCCCGATGCGTCTATCCCGGGAAGAATGGGATGGGGACTCTGGGGGGGTGGGTAGAAATTGGCTTGGGAGCCCCCCCCCCCACGCATGATTCTCAGCACCGCCTTAGAAGATTCTTTGGATGTTTTTGGTCTCCTGAAGGCGACGGAGAGGTTGTGGAGCAAGTGATTGGGCAGCAAACCAACGAGCAGGAGGAGAGTATCCTTGATGGGATGATTCGGGAACTGCAACGAGAGCAAGATCTGCGGAGACAGAATGAAGGCGGGGCTCGTCCAAACCCCCTGCAGAACAGACTGCAATCTGTTAACAGTAAGAGTTCTCTACTTTCCTTTTTTCCCCTTTTTTTAAAGCAAGCCCTCGCTTTCCTCGATGTTCTGAGGGTGCAGCAAGCACAGTGAAACAGTATGATGTGGTGTCTTTCAGTAGCCTTGAGGAGCCCGAGCTTGGAAATCGCTTCCCCTCCCAACGTCGGGCTCAGACGCAGCGGTCAGATCGAAGGCGTCCGGCAGATGCATCACAACGCCCCCAGGAGCCAGATGGCCACCGAGAGAGATCTCATGGCGTGGAGCAGGAGAGTGGTCGTAAATGAGCTGCATCCTGGTATTAGCAGGTAAAGGGAGATTAGAAGCCATGCACTTACTGGGTTTGAGCGGAAAGTGACGCTCTTGATCTTTTTGGAAAGGTTTAGACTAGAGACGGGCCGAAACTGCTGGTTCAGTGGTTCTTGCTGGTTCGTTTTCCATCTGAAGAGGTGCTCGGCATTTCCTTGTCCCTCCTCCTCCTCCTCCTCCTCTGGTGGTCGTCCACTCAGGGACAGCGCCCTGGCTTCCTTACGCTGCCTCTGAGTGGGTGCCCCCCAGAGAAGCCAGGGCTAGGAAGCCACTTGTTTGGGCGGTAAACAAACCCCCGAACCAGCAGTCTGTGACCATCTCTAGTTTAGACCTTGACCTGCGTTTATTCTTTCTTCCATTTCAGAGTTCAGGAAGAGTGCCGGGCTGCCAAAGGTGACTTAGAAATTCATCTGTACACTGTTGAAAAGAAAAGAAAACCTTCCCATACTTTACAAAGGGTGAGCAGTGTTTTCAGAAAAAAAACTTTGCACAGAGCTGGATAAGATGGTGACATTAGGAGCAAAGATTTAGATTTTGTTTGTTTGTTCCCAAGTGTTTTGGAGAAGCCAAGGGGGCTGGGTAAGCCTGGACATGTGTTGAAATGAACCATCACACCCTTTAAAGAGCACAAGGGGTCTTACAGAGGCTCAGATTAAAAAAATCAGTGGGTGTGAAGTTCCTGATGGGTGTATTTGGATCTGGGGTGCAGGGAGGAGGCTGTAGGTTTCCAATCTCTTTTTAAGCTATATGTATTCAAAGAAGCCAGAATCAAACTCAGTCATAAAATCTTACCTTGCTGTTAGGCTCTATTTTAAACTCCCCACCATTCCCGTATAACAAGGAACTCGTGGTGTAGTGGTTAAACTGCAGTACTGCAGTCAAAACTCTGCCCACCACCTTGGTTTGATGACTAGCTCAAGATGGACTCCACCTTTCATTCTTCTGAGG